TTGCCCTGGAAAAGCCCTCCAAATAGAGACAAATCCATGTATGGAGCTGGGCCTTAGCAAATAATGACACATTTTTAGTTTGAGATAGAGAACAATTAACAAAACTTGACAATCAAATTAAGAAGAAAAAAGATAATTTTATTGTAGTCAAACTGAGGACTATAACCCAGGATAAGCTCTGAGAAAGAAGTTGAAGGCACAGTCACATATATTTTTCAGAACAAAGGATCATACATCAAAATAACTTACTGACATTTTACATAAAGTTCACCAAAGACTTATAGTTCAGGTTGCTACTGCTGCTACTGCTAAGTCACTCCAGTAGTGTCTGACTCTTCGTGACCCCACGGACTGCAGCCCACCAGGCTCCTCCGTCCGTGGGATTTTCCAGGCAGGAGTACTGGAGTGGGGTGCCACTGCCCTCTCCGATAGTTCAGGTTAAGCATGTACAAATCAAGCGGGAAGCCACCATGCCCTTTGACACAGATGGGAAAGAATGCCAGTCTTCTGAGAAGTTACTTCTGAGCTGTTGTCAGAAGAAAGGGAGAAAAAAATTGACACTTAAATTTTCTGGAATAACTGACATTGGAACTGAGCTGTACTGAAAAGGTAATGATTCTTTCCTACAGTTACATGTTTCCAGTCAATGCCACTTTGCACTCTCAGGCATGCTTTGTATTTAAGCCGAACAGCTGTCATTGGTGATTATTGGCAGAGCAAAAGCAAGACCACTTCCATTACTTTTTATAATATCAAAGTAAATCTAACGAATCCATGTACTCAAGTGCTAAATTGACACGCAAACAATTTTAATTGGAGTACAATGTTGTGTCAGTCTGCTGTACAGCAAAATGACTGTTCTATATACATTTTAAAATATATACTTGCTTCAGTCAATATAAGTACTTGACTTGAATATAAGATGTTAACTCTAAAAGCTGACTTAAATAAAACCCAACATTCAAAAAACTAAGATCATGGCATCCAGTCCCATCACTTCATAGCAAATAGATGGGGAAAAAGTGGAAACAATGACAGATTTTATTTTCTTGGGTGCCGGGAGCCAACACACGAGACCCTACCCCTAACAAGGCCGTAAGGAAGAAAACCTGACGGGCAAGGCGAATCAGGTTTTCAGGGGTTTTCGAAAAGGCCAGCTCACGAGATCCCACCCATGACAAGGTCACGAGGAGAAAGCCTGACAGGCAAGGCAGATCAGGTTTTCAGGGATTTCGAAAAGCTGCCCCCGGCTCTCACCTTAAAGATGATATCTGTCTTTCTGATGCCTGACACAGGCAGGAAGGCCTTCCCCATCTCTTCCCAAACGAGAATCAATTTAGAACTTTAATCAATAAGTTTCCCAGGTGGTGGTATTTTATGAGATTATTTAGGGTGAAAGGAGTGTTTTAATTCAAACTCCTTCGCTGGTAGTTTGTTAGCCAAATGCATTTATGCCCTTGGTACTAATATGCATGATTGCTTATAATATCCTAATCATAAAATAGCATAAAGAACCTGATTATATAAAAGCCCTAATAGATATAGAGCCCTTTTAAGGGGTAAAGGAGTCCTATTAGAAAACATAAGAAAATTATTCTACAGGTGGTTATTGGGTTGTGATTTGCTTGCTGTGTTTTGCTTGCTGTATTTTTGCCTTTAATGTGCTAAAGTTGTGTTATAAAAACCATTGTTAATATAGTTAAAGATCTAGAGAAATAAGAACTTAGCCCTAATGTGGTAACAATGAGATGGTTGTTAATTGTCAGTCAGGAGTGCTAGGCAAAAGCTGCCTCACCAAAGTCGCAGTCTGTATGGGGTAAACTTCTTAGATAAACACAACCGACAACTTTCGCAGAAAGATTAATTTTTGTATTAACAAGAATATAATTCTACTCTGTACTATTTCCCTATGACCCTGTTACCTTTCAGTTAAGGTCACCATAAAAACAGAAAATAGGTTTACAATCACCTGACCTGCATAAAATGTTAATAGGCCTCAAGGCCAGAAGATCATGTGCTAAAAATTACTATAGAATTGGAAAGCAAAAAAATCCTGCTCTTCCTAAAAATCAAAATGATGTAATGCTAACCCTGTGTAATCATGAGTAAGCATCTTGTACCTTGAAAACGTTCTGTGAAAGGGTATAAAACAGGTTGTTAAAAAGTAAAACACAGATTTGGCCCTATCAAGGCTGGTCTCACGTGTCTTCTCGCTGACGCCGTTCATCCTGACGGTACCCCCTGGATCCTGCCGAGGCTGGACCCCGGCACTTGGGCTCCAAAATCACTGGAGATGGTGACTGAAGCCACAAAATTAAAATATTTGCTCCTTCCTTCCAAGTATCAAATGATAAAGAGAAATCTAGACAGCGTATTTAGAAGCTGAGACATCACTTTGTTTGCAAAGGTCTGAATAAAGGTATGTTTTTTCCCCTTATAGATAGACGTAGAAATTAAACCATAACAAAGATCAAGCACCAAACAACTGATGCTTTTGAACTGTGCTGATATTCCACACAGCTCTAGTAATAAAGCACAAATTTCACAAATCACAAATTTCATGTAGTTCAGAAGCTGCAAGGTTAGATTCCATTAGAATATGTTTTTACCACAAGAAGTAGAAACAGTTTACCGGTAAGCCATAACAATACCTATGAAAGTTACATCTACTTTTGATTAACTATAGATATCAGGGGAAAGCGCGAACGCAGTCCCCCACTACCACAAATTATGCAGTCGAGTTTCCCACATTTGGGGAAATCGCAGGGGTCAGCACATCCGGAGTGCAATGGATAAGCCTCGCCCTGGGAAAACCACCTTCGTGATCATGGTATCTCCCCTGCCAGGTAAGTATGAGTTGCCGGCCACCCACCGCCCAGCACCCTCGAGCTCGCCCCACTCTAAACGCACGGTCACTTCCCTCGCACCACCTCCGCACCCTCCGCCCCTGCGCGTCCCTCGGCCCGGCCTCGCCCACCCGGGGAACAACCTCAGGAACCTCCGCGTGGCCACACGCGGGACGCCGAGGCCCGGGGGAGCGGGACCAGCAGGCTCTGCGCGCCGCTCATCTACATACGCCACGCCCCTGCCGGGATGTCCCGGATGTCATGTTCTTCCACTTGGGGGCGCGAGACCTACTAACCCCACCCGAGACTCGCCGGTGGCTCGTGAGGGGAGTGCGTGGGCGAGCGGCGGCCAGTCTGGACCTGGAGTGGGAACCTGGGAAGACACGAGACCGCAGTGCCTCGCAGTTGATGGGGTTGGTCGGGACTCGGATCTAGTCTCCTTCCTTTCAGCAAGAAGAAAATATCAGTCCATTTTTGCCGTCGCCTGTCTGAACTCATTTTCCGGTCATGGAAAGCTCGGGAAAGACTTATTTACCGGTTGACGTTAAGCGCTAAAGCCGCCTTAATAGGAAAGCGTGGTAATGTTTATTCACGATGTCTTTTTAAGTAAAAGTGACGAAAGTGCTTCGGGATGTGTAGCCTATCCTAGTGATGCTGGAAGGAAAGCCCGGGGTCCTGTTGCAGACAGAAAACCAGATGAGAGCGCGATTGGTCGCCTCCACCGCACCAGGCGGGGGCTCCTGGAGCGCGGTGCTCGGGGTCGGGAACCCTTGCCCTTGGGCCGCGCCCCCGCCCCCTCCTCCCGCTGCCCCAGCGTGCACACCGGACCCCCAGGTGTCCTCTGGCCCTTTCCGATCTGACTCGGTCAAAGAGAAACACAGCAGACCGCAGAGAACGTGGTGAAAGCAGACTTTATTCAGTGAATACTGACAGCAGGGGAAAGAGCTGACCGAGCTCCATTCCGAAATGGGCGAGGGGATCGGAGCGTTTTAAAGGGAGGATGAGAGCGAGGGGACTCAGAAGAGGCAGCAATGAAAAACCACAGAGTTAGTAGAGAGGCAGGCCGGCCGAGTTTGTCAGCCGGCAGTCACTGAAGTTAGGATGGGTCCTCTCAGAAAGTGGGAGACACGGGCCCTACCGTTCTTGCTTACATTTCAAAGGAATGGCTGCCAGTCTTTGAGAGAGACCCTCTGGGCTGTAAGAGAACCATCTTCACAATTGCAAGCCCTTTTAAATGAATGCTGTGACAAAGAGCATTCAAGCGACCTTCCTGGCGGTTCAGTGGTTAAGACTCTGAGCGCCCAATGCGGGGGATACGGGTTACCCTGGCCAGGGAACTAAAATGCAGCATAGTGCGGACAAAAAGGAAGACAGAAAAAGGATGGCAAGGGCCTGCGTCAGGTGTTGGACTTTCTCAGAGAGGAATTTTTTTCATAATTTATTTTTAAATTGAAACATAGTTGTTTAGGCAGAATGTTTTAGATATCATTTTAGTTAGAGAAAGGGGTGTGGAGGTGGGAGAAAACTGACAATAGTCACAGTAGGCAAATTAATTTGTATGTTAGGTGTCAAGAGCTATGAAAAAAGGGAAAAAAATCGAAGACGGAAAGGAGATAGGGAATTGCTATAAGCAGGCAGTTTGCTGTGCTGATTTCGGTAGTCAGGGGAGGCTCCCTGGAGAAGGTGACAATGTGAGCAGCCTGGAGGGAGGAGGGGACTGGTCATGGGGCTGTCTGGGAAGAGCATCCCTAGCAAAAGGTCAGTTAGAGTAGTGTCTGGAGAATAGCAAGAAGGTCCTGAGTACAGAAGATTTATGAGTGGCACCGAAACTGAGAGAGGTGACTGCGTGGGGACAAGAACTGAGGGTCTTGACCTTTGTAAGGGTTCAAGTCTGAGTGAACCAGAACCAGAAGTTTCCAGAAGAGAAGCAGCTTCATCTAAACCCTCCACACCCCACCCCCACCCCCACCCCCACCCCTCTTCCCCACTCCGCTAGCAAAGAAGAGAAAATCACTCTGGCCGCAAAGGTGGCAGAGGGAAAGCAGGGAGATTCATAGGAGACCTGTAGAACGCAGGCAATATGATGCTGGCTTTGAAGGGTGGCACAACGTGCCACAGCAAAAAATATCATTTTAAGCAAAGGAGTATTTTGAACTAACGGCACTTAAAGAGCACCAGGTGGCTGCCTAGGCGGTTGGCAGCCGGCTTCGCTGTGCCCGTCTCCTCGGCTCGGCCTTCCGCACCCCGCGAGCGTATCCATTTCGCCGCCTCTCCCCTAGCCCTCTTCCCAGCTTTCAGGCCGCGGTCCCCACTTGTAGAAACAGGGACGGCGGAGAGGACACGAGGCATCTTGAAACTCGTCGCCCGGATGCCAGCCACCACCACGGCTGGGCCGCAGCCACCCCGCAGGATAGCCGGGTCCTCGCACCCGCACCCAGCGCCCTGGCGGCCGCGCGCACGGCTCTCTTCAAAGGGGCTTCCGACCAGCGTCCCAGTGTCGTGTAGCGGCATTTCCGGAAAAAGGAAGGTCCCCGGCCGCTTGGTGGCGCGCACCCTTCGATAGCTCAGCTGGTAGAGCGGAGGACTGTAGATCCGACACGTGTGGTCATCCTTAGGTCGCTGGTTCGATTCCGGCTCGAAGGAGGTGCTGGTCGCTTTTGCTTCCCAGTGAAAGGCAGCCCGCCCCCGGCGCCTCTGCCCCGCCCGACATCCTGCGGCAGCGCAGCGTCCTTCCTCCTTGGCCAGAGGCGGGAAAGCCTTTGGGGGACACCCGCGCAGCCCCGCGTTGGCCGTGGCCTGGGGACTCGCCTGCGCCGTCTCCTGCCCGCAGGCCGCACACAAGCCCGCAGCGCGGTGGCCTCCGCCGCGGGCCGCGCCCTCTCCACTTTTCTTCGCTTTCGCACTCCCACCCAGGCTCTCCAAACAGCTGCTGCGCACCAAAAGCCCTGCAGCGAGGCCGACAAGCACCCAGGCCGTCACAGGGTCAGGGACAGCAGGGCACCCTTCCTGAAACCCCCTCAATGCCGGCTCAGTCCCCGGCTCTGCCCCCAAAGGAAGCTCACAGTCTTTCAGCCTCCCAACCTCTGTCTCTCCGTCCCTGTCTTTCATATGGTCTCTGAGGTGCAGACTTGGGGAGACAGGAAACCTTCCCAACCCTCTCGGGGCAGAGCTGCCACCCCGAGATCTTTCGAACCACTGCCAACCCTGCTCCTACGCAGAAGTAGACGCCCGCAGGAGCAAAAGGCAGCAGGGCTCTCAGTGGGCTTGACTGTGCTGATGAGAAATTCGGCGGCTGCTTCAGGTGTCCTGTCCGTCTGAGGACACGGGTGGCTCCCGGGGAAGCCTCAGCTTTCACAGGCCTTTGCACCTGTCTCTGTAGCCGCTGCAAGGTTCAAGTTCCTGTGGAAAGAACAAGGACTGCTCCCACTGTGTAGAAGGGTGGGAAAAGCGCCTCCACCATTCTGCTACATCTGATGGAGGAGAGACAGATGACAGCAAAAGCACAGGCACGAGCTCAGAGAGCCTGGAGTCGGGAGCAAGGGGGGCTGATGCAGGGAGAAGGGTGGAGGGTGGGATGGGGGGCAGGTGGGGAGATACCAGCATGAGGGGAACTAAATTCACCTTCTTGCACGAACCACCTGGTTCTGAGCAGGTGGCTAACTTTAGTGCTGGGTCCTTAAGGCTAAACTGGAGAAAGAAGAGGATGAAGTGGAGAGAACCCCCATAAGGAAGTGGGCTGGACTGTCATCAAGAAGCAGCAGCTTCACTTTGGGGACAGACTGGTTTGGGTGTGGCTACAGAGAACAGCAGGGAGTGGTACTGTCTCCCTCCCTTCCTGTGGGAGGGAAACTCCAGAGACTCTGCTTACAGTTGGAGTCCGTCTCAGAGGACTCTCGGCAGAACGCCGACGGCAGTGTGGCTCTCTGAAACCTCAGGGGCCCCGGGCTGCTGTCCCCGACCCCTGAGTCCACAAGCCCTTTTTTGGTCTGGTTCTGGTTGAAGGCGGGAGGAGAAGGGGAAGGCAGAGGATGAGATGATTGGATGGCATCACCGGCTCAATGGACAGAGTTTGAGTCAACTGCGGGTTGCTGATAGGGAAGCCTGGTGTGCTGCAGTCCATGGGGTCGCGAAGAGTCCGCCACGACCGAGTGCCTGAACTGAACTGAACTGCCTCTCAAACTGCAGACTGAGGCTCTGCTTTGTCGTCCTCTCCTGGCAAACTCCTGTGGTCACACCCCTGTCGGTCTCACCCTTTCGTGTCCCACTGCTAACCGACAGGCGCCGGCCAGCAGTCTTTGGAGTCTCCCCGGGCCCAGGGCGCTGTGCCGCCGCAGTCTGCACGCTGCCCTTCCAGAAGGGGCCGCCGCTCTGCGGCTGCAGAGACCCAGCCTCGAGTGGTACCATCAGTAAAGGCCAGCAGATGGGGCCAAAAGAAAGACCCTCAGGCCTTTGTTGGATCTATTCCCGAAGGATGTGGAGGTGTGCAACCCTTGGGGACCTGGGTTTGGAGAAGTGGGAAGGGCCGTGGGTTTTGGTGACCAGCGTGGCCAACCCTTCTGGTCTGGGTGGCACAGAGACTGGCAGGGGCACTCTGAGGCACTGTCCCCCCAACCTCAAAGGGGCAGAGGTGCCCGCTGCCTGCTCAGGGAGTGGCAACACGCCGGGCTGAGGGAAGGCCACTTCACTGTGGCTTGCTGTGCCTCTGGAGCACTTCTGCCGGGTGCGCTAGCAATCTTGGGTGGTGGACACACATCCCTGGGATCTGAAATGTTTGTAGAATCCACCCTGGACACCCGTGCCCTCTGCCCCTCCCTCTGGGTTCCAGCCCCCTCTCCAGGAAGTCCACAGAACCTTGACCTCTGCCAAGGAAGCAACCACTTATGCCCAGGAATCGGGGTAGGTGGGCGAAGGAGGTCAGCCAAGGCTGGATACCTACAGGCCTGGTTAAGCCTGGATGTGCTCATTGCTCTTAGCCTGATAGCCTTCTCCATCACTCCACAGGAAGCCTCGCTAGGACCTGAAGTCATGGTGGGCAGGAGGGCGGAGAGGCACATCAGCTTCCACCGGAGGCGAGCCTGTTAGTCGGGGAAAATGCAAGCCTGGAAAAATGAAGAAATGCACGATGACTGATTTCGGGGCACATCATCCGCACAGGAGCCAGTTTCAAAGGAGTCCTACTGCCAAATCAAGGTAATGATAATAATGGAATATAATCCATTGAGTAAAATAGGTACAGGACTTAATAGCAGTGACACACCAGTATTCATCAAGAGGAACCAGATTTTGGTCTCTAAATTTGTTCTCCAGCAAAAGGAAGCAGGACCAATAAAAAGAAGCACTTAGCTACTTTTGGGGGTATTTATCTTCCTTTGGGGGTTCTCTTCTACGTGTAAGTAAATCTGCTCTTTTTGTTTTTGGGCTGCACAGCTTTCAGTACCTTAGTTCTTTGACCGGGGATTGATGTCTTGCCCCATCAGTGAAAGCCTGGAGTCCTAAACACTGCACTGCCAGGAAATTCCCTCCACGTTTTAAAAAATTTTTTATGTATTAAACTAGTTGATTTACAATCTTGTGTTAATTTCAGGTGTACAGTTGAGATTCCTTGCCATTATAAGTTATTACATGACATTGAATATAGTTCAGTGTGAATGTAGTAACCTCTTATTTATTTTTTCTGGTGTTCTATAACTATTAATCCAATACTACTAGTTTACCCCTGTCTGTTGCCTTCCCCTCTTCTCCATACTCCCCCTCGATGCCCAGCATTGTTTTCTGTTTGTGATTGTTTCTGTTTTATAAATAAGTTGACTTCTTTTTTTAGATTCCACATATAAGTGACATAAAAAAACTCTTTTGAGAGAGTCCCTTAGACTGCGAGGAGATCAAACGAGTCCACCCTAAATAAAATCAACCCTGAATGTTCATTGGAAAGACTGATGCTGAAGCTGAAGCTTCAATCCTTTGGCCACCTGATGCCAAGAGCTGACTCATTGGAAAAGACCCTGATGCTGGGAAAGAGTGAAGGCAGGAGGAAAAGCGGTGACAGAGGATGATGAGATAGTTGGATGGCATCACCGACTCAATGGACATGAGTTTGAGCAACCCTGGGAGACTGTGAGGGACAGGTAAGCCCGGCGTGCTGCAGTCCATGCGGTCGCAGAGTCGGGCACGGCTGAAACAGTAAGTGATTTTATAGATATTATATTTGTCTTCCCCTGATGTGCTTTGTATAACCTCTAACACCTATTCAGTTCAGTTCAGTTCAGTCGTGTCTGACTCTTTGGGACCCCATGGACGGCAGCACGCCAGATCTCCCCGTCCAACTCCGGGAGTCTACTCAAACTCCATGTCCATTGAGTCGGTGATGCCATCCAACCATCTCATCCTCTGTCGTCCCCTTCTCCTCCCGCTTTCAGTCTTTCCCAGCATCAGGGTCTTTTCCCATGAGTGCGTTTTTCACATCAGGTGGCCAAAGTATTGCAGTTGCAGCTTCAGCATCAGTCCTTCCGACGAATATTCAGGACTGATCTTCCTTAGGGTGGGCTGGTTGGATCTCCTTGAAGTCCAAGGGACTCTCAAGAGTCTCCTCCAACACCACAGTTCAGTTCTTCGGCGCTCAGCTTTCTTTATGGTCCAACTCTCACATCCATGCATGACTATTGGAAAAACCATGGCTTCGACTAGAGGGACCTTTGTTGGCAAAGTAATGTCTCTGCTTTTTAATGTGCTGTCCGGTTGGTCATAACTTGTCTTCCAAGGAGCAAACATCATTCAATTTCTTGGCTGCAGTCACCATCTGCAGTGATTTTGGAGCCCCCCCCCCCCCCCCCCCCCAAAGTAAAGCCTGTCACTGTTCCCATTGTTTCCCCATCTATTTGCCATGAAGTGACAGGACCAGATGCCACGATCTTAGTTTTCTGAATGTTGAGTTTTAAGCCAACTTTTTCTGTCCTCTTTCATCAAGAGGCTCTTTAGTTCTTCTTTGCTTTCTGCCATAAGGGTGGTGTCATCTGCATATCTGAAGTTATTGATATTTCTCTATTCCTTTCCCAATTTGGAACCAGTCTGTTGTTCCATGTCCAGTTCTAACTGTCGCTTCCTGACCTGCATACGGATTTCTCAAGAGGCAGGTCAGGTGGTCCGGTATTCCCCTCTTTCAGGATTTTCCAGAGTTCCTTGTGACCCACCCAGTCAAAGGCTTTGGCATAGTCAATAGAGCAGAAGTAGGTTGTTTTTCCTGGAACTCTTGCTTTTTCCGATGATCCGACCAACGGATGTTGGCAATCTGATCTCTGGCTCCTCTGCGTTTTCTAAATCCAGCTTGCACAGCTGGAAGTTCAGGGTTCACGTACTGCTGAAGCCTGGTTTGGAGAATTTTGAGCATTATTTTACTAGCCTGTGAGATGAGTGCACTTGTGCGGTAGCTTGAGCATTCTTTGGCATTGGAATGAAGACTGACCTTTATCCCGTCTTGTGGCCACTAGCTGAGTTTTCCGAATTTGCTATACCAGCACGTTCACAAGCATCATCTTTTCGGATTTGAAATAGCCCAACTGGAATTCCATCACCTCCACTAACTTTGTCCTGTGAAGGTTCCTGAGGCCCACCCACTTGACTTCCCATTCCCGGCCGTCTGGCTCTAGATGAGTGATCACACCATCAAGATTATTTGGGTCAGGAAGCTCTTTTTTGTAAACACCTACTCAAACTGCTGCAAACTCAACAGAGACCCTTTTCCGACTTGCCCGGGTAATGCTGACCAAACAACCCGCACTAGCTGGAAAACGATAAACTTTCCTAAGGAAAATGGGTCTTCCGCGGTGGCTCAGAGGTTAAAGCGTCTACCTACAGCGCGGGAGACCTCCCACTGCGGCGTCCTTGCCTGGAGAATCCTATGGACGGAGAAAACGGGTGGGTTACAGTCTACGGGGTCACAGAGTCGGAC